CTCAATCACCGTTTTTGTTGGCTAGACTAGTCTTCCCTGTAATGAGAGGACCAACGTAACTCTATTGGTGGGCCTTTACGTTTCCTTTTTTTGGTCATTATATCCTAATCTTAGTTGTATCCTAACATTTTTTAGAGGCCCTTGAGCTATCATTCATTTTAAAATTCCCAGTGCCTGGCATGCAGTATTTATTAAATGAGCTTCATTAAAGAATGAACTTAACTTTCAGGTTAACATTGGGAGCAAATAATCTGTTTTCTACAAGCATCAAGTACAGTGCATTATTTTCTTAATCGCTGCCAACAGTCTGCTGAATTAACCTATTAATCAAAAAGTGGTATAGCTGCCTTAAATTATTCCTGAAGAGTGGCAGGACAAGTGCAAACAAGACACAATACAACGCTATTGTGTTTGTACAAGAGACAGCAGCTGGCGTCCCTTCCCGCGGGCGCAGGAAGAAAGCGCACAACGACCTTGAGACTCCGGCGCGCAGGCAGCCGCGGCTCCTAAGGAACTCACACAACCAAGTGGCGACAAAAGCCGCTGCGTCCACGGCGGAGGCCCGCGGGCTGCGCTCCCCTCGGCCGGGACGAGCCCTCAGCTCTTCTTCCCGGCCTCTGGGAAGGGAAGGGCGACAGCGAGACCCGGGCGGTGGGCACGGGTCTCGTCCAGAACCCGCGCGGAGCCCAGCGCCTGCCTGCCGCCCTCTCCGCGCCTGCGCACAGCAGCGGGTCCGCCCGGTGGGCGCGTGCGGGGGACCTCGGCGCCTACTCACCCGCCGACGGGGTTAAGCGAGAACAGTCGGCCTGTGTACCCCGAAACCTAGATGTAAACACTCCTAAAGAACGGCTCCCGCAGGAGCTCAGCTTGCGCACTACCCACATCGCGACAGAGGATCCACGTCTTTTCCGGTCCCTCTGGTAAAAGATCCCCAACAGAAAGGTTCCGGGATCACTCTCGCGCAGTCAGGAGTCCATCTAATCACGGTTGCACTTAGTGGATGGTTTATATATATAGCTATAGTTATTCACCCTCAACGTGTCAGATTGTGTGTGTAATTAAAGTATAGAATGTTTCTATTATCACAAACGAACTTAAAGATCCTTCTATTATGCCTATCCTATATGACATCATGGCCAAAGTAGCCATCTATCATGTTACTGCTTCCTGCTACGTCCTAGCTTTTCTTTTATTCCCTGGTAGCTCTATTTCATATTTAACAGATGTCTCCTAGGGAATTTATACTCCTGTTAGACACTCTTAGAATCTTAAAAGCATGGAAACTCTTCTCTAAAGAAAGAATTGTCAAGGTCAATGTCAGATGGCCAAAAGTCTAAACTGAGTATTCTCTGCAAGTGACCTGATAATATTCTGGAAGGGCATACATTATATAGCAGGAGACTTCATTTAGAGCAAGAATGGTGATTTGTAACATTTTACCTCTAAATATATAAAAGCCTTTCCTTGGATAAGAAAAATAAATTTCCAGCATTAATGGTAAAAAAAAAAGTCATTGTACATTTTCAAAGTTTTTTGAATTAGTAGAACTTACATAGCTCAGTAATGGCCTTTCACTTACGGCTTCTTAGTAAAATACTGACCTCATTCTAAGAGTGGTTGTGGACCTCGGCCATCTCTTCAAAGCTCCTCTCTCAAGATGGCAGAAAGCTCTGCATAAAAGACCCTTGACCCTTTAGCATGTGTTAAATATTTGCTGGTAACAGATCCAAGAAAAAAAGCAAAGTGTATGATTAAGTTCTAAGAGCTTTATTTAAATGTACTTGCTTTGAATGTACCACCTCACTGAGCTTCAGAGCCTTCCCACATTTTCAGTTCTACAAAGGCAATCAGTAATTTGTTTTACTATCGAGAGGAAACAAAAGCTCTTCAATACCCGCTAGTTTGACTCAATAAGCAAAACTAGCTCATATGGTTTTTCTCTACAAATGCAAAAGGCTTTCGCAGACACCTAAACCCGAGTTGTTTTGAAAGGATTTGCAGTTGTTATATGGTATATAGCCATTGTTGGAGTTAACCCCCAAAGCATCACTATGATATCGCCCATAAATGTGTTGTCAACTAGTCTACAATTTTACTATAAAAATAAAAATCTTTAATAATTTTGAAATTCAATTTTATATAAACTCTTTTCATTCAAGTTAAGGGTAATGTGCTCCCTTACAGCTAAGTTTTATTCCTTTAAAATGATATACTACTATATCCACTCAGAGTTTAACTGGTAAATTTTCCCATAAATTGGTTAACTAGAATTATTAGAATTTTAACTTACCATAATCAGAATATGGCAGATTTAACCTATGTGTGTTTAGAGAACACTATACCTGATAAACCTTTATGTATAAATGTAACTCAACATGCCATGTTAGCCCTGGCTGTGTAGTTCAGTGGATAGAGCTTCAGCCTGCACATGGAAGGGTCTCAGAGGGGTCTTGGGTATGATTCCCGGTCAAGGGCACGTACCTCGGTTGTGGGTTTAATCCCAGTCGGGCGCATTGAGAGGCAAGCAATTGATGTTGATTTTTCTCTCTGTCCCCTTCTCTTCCCCCTCCCTACCACTCTGTCTAAAAATCAACGGAAAAAGTATCCTCGGGTGAGGATTTTAAAAAATTAAAAATAAAAGTAGCATGAGTTATTTTAGGACTAATAAGAAGCCTATTTTCTCATTTAGGTTTAGACTTTACAACCAAATTCTACTTAATATTGAAGAACTTAAGGGCTTTAAGTGTTAAAGATCTTGGAAATAATCTAATTCCACCCTTATGTAGTTGAAGAAATTAAGGTCCATAATGATTAAGTGATTTGCCCGAAATACATCAAGTATTAGAGCCAGGACAATCCAATAGATCGCTATTTCCATTAAACCATGATTAGTAGACCATTTTAGAAACTTTGGTAAATTAAAATAGATTTTAATATATGTAACAGAAGAAAAACTCAGTTTAAATGAAAAGATTTCCAGAAGACAATATTATAGGAACTTTATAACTTACATAATCCTATGTAAAAAGAAACTATGTTTGTGAAATTCACCTATTGTATATTAGAAAGATGCTAAAAAAGACATTTTACGATGGCAGAAAACATACACTGAGATTCCACACCAATTTTTATTTATATTTTGGGGCCTGAAACAAATCTTCTAATTACTTCTTCCAAATTACATTTTATGCTCTTAATGGTGTGGTTTACCCCCATTCCACAAGAACAAATATGATGAATACACTAGAAATTTTTTTAAAACCTCTTAAGACAGTTTTTATTAACCAATTCAGACCAATGATTGTCTCAAAAACTGAATCTATTAATTTTCTGGTGGTGTCATTTAGATGATTTCATAATTAAGTTATACATTTAATGAACTTATGTGTAAGTTTTAGCATTCACATCCCAAATCATGGAAGACCTATTTTATAAAATCTTACCATTCAAGGTAAACATACTTCATTACATGTCAATGAAATGAATTCTCTAAATTATCCATAAAAAAAAATATCTATAACACTAATGTGTCTACTAATAATCACACACATCATGACTGTGTTTTTAAAAATATCTACAGATTTAATAAGAGGCTTGCATATTATGGCAGAGTAAATAAAGCTTTCAAATACTGCTTTTGGCTCTAGTTCATATCTTGCCCAAAAATGTGCATATCATAGCCAGCAGAACTTTTCCGTAGAATTTTATTTTGAAAATATTATTTCACTTGAAGATTGATCTAAAAAACATTTTAAGATATGAAAATGTTATACAACTTATCTATTACAAATTAATTGAGTAATTCTACAATTAGGTATACCATGTTAGCTCACCTACATAAAAAATATTGCACACTTTCCTTTATTTTGTCTCCAGATGTGACTGATGTCTAAACTATATAGAATTCTAAACTATTTAAAAGTTATTCTGTGAAATGTCAACTTCATAAATATCAGAACTGAATGCACTGTAAAACAACCATTTTGGTAAACATGCATTTATTCACAGTTGATTTATTTCCTCTAGATAAATGCATAACTGCTCAAAATTATTTAAGAACTATGTAGAGGTACAAGAGCACACTATACAAATCTATTTCCATCTTTGTTTTGAGGAAATACTGATCTTGGCAAAATTCTGGCTTATTTTAAAATTAACTATTGCTGGTAAAAAGGCATACTTTAAAACATTTCTGTGACCTGCACCTGCTCTTTTTAAATTAAAATTTAAAAGCATTTGTTTTTAGAGACTTATCTGATTATTGTGGCATAAGTGAATAATCACATAAAAATGAACCCTGAAAGCAGCTGAGCATTAAAATGCCTGTAGTGCTTTCATTTTACTCATAAGTTATAACTGCCTTAAATTGCTAGACCACTCACTGAGCCTAATTTTAAGAAACTAACAAAACAAAACCATTTCAAATTATGAGACTGACACAGCCTGAATAATACAGCATTTCTCCACTGAGCTGGTCATATACTTTAAAAAAATATAAATAAATATATTGAATTATGAGTTTTATTTCTGTAATAACCCCAAAGTGTTTCAAATACACTTCTAAAACAGAAGTGGGTAACTGCAGAATATAGTTCCAGACTTGACTAATAGAGTCAAACACAATCATTCCTTATAACTCTAATTGGTACACTGGCTTGATTGAATCCAGCAATTTCATTTTACAGGAGTGAACCATACTTTATACACAAAGAATATATTACTTGAAAATCCCCTAAATGGGAAAAGTTTAGAAAGCTGTCTAATGATTCCAAATTAAAAGTAAATGTCTGTTTCTGGCCCTCTTCCACACCCTTAAAGTTGGAATTTGACAAAAATCCATGGGTACAAATTTACAAACTTTGACAGACTATTGAGATAAAACCATTTTCTTTGGGGGATGTGGGAGGAAGTACCTTTAAAACTTGTTATACAAAGTTCCAGCTGCCTTTTTATAAAAGTACGTTCCTTAGATTAAAATCATAAAATTAAGGTGCAAGAGGTTAACAAAAATGAACTAAAGAGCTTTATTGACATCACAGTACATTCAAGAATAATTTTAAGAATATTACAGCTGAAAGAGAATGGCATGTTTATAGTCTTATTGTGCACTATTTTTTGGAAAAAAAAAGTAATACAAAGAAATCCTATTAACGGAGCAGCATTTGGAAAAAGTACACCTATTTACAGATTAAAAAAAAAAAAAATTCTGGTTTCACCTACACAGCCACAATGTGCCTCTATAATGAGACAAGCCCTTAAAACTCATGGAATTTTTTAAACATCATGGCATTCTTGCCACATCATTCCTCAGCGTTTACGACGGAGAGGGGTTGTTGATCTGGAAAAAAAAGGGAAAGACAAAATTTAAAAATAAAAATGTATTTTAAACTAAAGAATCTGTAATTTTTAAATAACTAATATTATATTTCTAAAATTATTTAAAACTATGATCATTTATCAAGTACCAATCTGAGTTTATTAAAGAGAGAGAGAAAGGACACTTTCAAGTTTGAATAAATTCAGTCAAATTTTTAAAAAAATCAGACAAAATACTTTAAAAAGTATACTACCTTGATCGGGACTTAGACTTGTGTTTGCGGCTTGCCTTCTTACCAGACCTTTGAGATTTCTCCATGGATCGCGATCGACTATGTTTAGGCTTCTTAGCCTTCTTTTCTTTGCTACTTCCTGGAGATTCAGAACTGCTCCTTCCACTAGAATCAGAGCCTGAATGTTTTTTACTATCTTTGGTAGTACTTTTCTTACTATCCTGTCTAGAATCATGTCTGATGATTTTAACAGATATAGAACCACTCCTAGAGAAAGTTCTTTCACTTTCTCGTTTCCTTTTTAACCTATCATCCTGACCACTGAACTTAAAATCTTTTTCTTCCCTTTTTTGTTTCTCTTTTCTTTTATCCTGTTCACGCTCTCTTTCTTTGTCTTTCTTTTTCCTATCTTTATCTATACTTCGACTTCTCTCTTTTTTCCTCTCTTGTTCTTTAGCCTCACCTTTATGTTTATGACTGCTCCCACTAAGATTTCCACGTTGGTCATCAATTTTACGTCTATCTCGACTCCTACTGCGACTGGACCGATTGGTTCGCCTATCCCTTGAGCGACTTCTACTTCTACGTCTCTCTCGGGAAGGACTCCGATTTCTTCGTCTTTCTCTTTCAATGCTATTTCTATTAGATCTTCTCCTTTCTCTAATCTTTACCCTAGCCCTATTGCTGTCTATTTTAATTCTGCGAGAATAACTTCTACTCCTACTACGTCTAGCTTTAATTGTTGGAGATCTACTTCTACTATGTCTCTTTTTCCTTTTAGGAGAAGAAGATCGAGAAGATGTGCGACTACTACCTGAGCTAGAACTGTATGAAGAACTAGAGACAGTACTACTAGTACTACTAGTTCTGCTATTGCTACTGGAACTACCACTACTAGAACTTTCTGATCTACTCCTTCCTTGTTTCTCTTTTTCTTTATGATCTTTTTTTGGTTCTAAAACTGATGTAGTTTCATTTGGAGTTCTTTTCTTTTCATTAACCACATCACCGTCTGTTTCTCTTGCTTCTAGTAATGATAAACTATTTTGCTCTTTATGGATAAATTCATTCATCTCTTTTGTAACCCTTTCAGTTTGTTGCTTTTCTTCTGAAACAGAAAAAAGACAAAAATATTAAGTCAAATGTACAATGAAAAACTCCCATATTACCAGACTGGAACAACAGAGCAAGACATAACGACAAAACGACATACGTTGAGCCTTATGTAACCCGAGGACTGTCTGTACTCATTAATTTGTATAAAAAACTTCTAAAAAGTCCTCTATTATCCTAGCTACAAATTACTTTTCAATAATTTTACAAATATATTTCCCCCATTTCAAAACTCTTTTTAAAAGAACTTTAATAAGAAATAAAAATACACTGAAATGGCTTAACTTATAGCCCCTGAAATTAATCTCTCCCCAGATAAAAGTTTACCATTCCTAAACTATATATTTTCAATACTACAATTAACTTTGCGTTTACATTTGATAAAAATTACAAATAAGCCCAAATCCTTAGTTTCAGTTACGACTCATTTATTATTTTTAATGTAGCCTCAATTCCATCCTTTGATACTTTAGGTTGTTTGAAAAATGTAAAGAAACACAAACAAAACTGGACAAAATTAAGTGAATGTAAAAGTTTATACCTTCCATCTGTTTATCATGTAACAGCTGCTGTTCTTTTTCTTTTCTCCAAAAAGCTTCCTGTTTTTGCCGGATTCGGTGCCGTAATTCCTCATCGTCAGTGTCAGATGACTCAGAGCCTCTGTCACTCCTTTCATCTTCACTGTCTCCTGATCCATAACCACCCAGTCCACCTGTGTGCATAAAGCCCAGTCCATCATATGGAAAAAATATTCTGTGCACTAAAAACTTTTTAAGGTCCAAGAAGAAAGCTCATTTCTTTTTTACATTGCATTTTGTTGGAAGAATCTACTTATTCGGGGTGGGGAGAAGTATAAATTCCAATGCTTAAGAAGTTCATAGGAACCCTCATGAAAATTGATATTTAGTATCTTATTCTTTCTGGAATATTTCATATATTTGTTACCATAAATGAATTGTGATAATGGTTTTGTTTTACTGTCCATGCTAACCAATAAAACCATTTAATAAAGTATTAACAAAGTCTCACACTAAAGCATAATCAATTCAACTACCTTAAAATTTATGATGATCCTAAAAATAGTTCTACAATTAACTTTTTCATTGTTCAAAGCTTAGAAATCCCCAGGTAGTATGCTAAGTATTTTTCCCCTAAAAAAATTAGAATACTGTAATTCTGACTGTGCAGAAATGGTATGATGCTAAAACTACTCCCCACCCTGAAGTGATCTAAATAGTAATAACAAAATCACATGGGCATTTGGTTCTAGCCATTTTTGTTGATCCTCACAAAGATTAATTTTTGAAATAATGTGGAAAAGGCAAATTCAAGCTTTTATATACTTGATAATATAACATGCAAAGAGAAAATTATGAATACATCACTACTATGGTAATGTAAGATAAACCCTTTCCTCTATGGTAAACCTAACTTGCTGCAACACAATCTAAATAAAGGTCCTTAAAACCATTAGTGGATAGGTTCCTCTCTAAGGCAACAATTTTGAAAGTGAGCTTAAATACTAGCATGGCTAAATTATCACTATTATAACTTGCCTTATTAACTATGAATTAGTCACCACATCTACAATAATCCCACTGTGAATGCTTTGGTAAAAAAAAAAAAAAAGAAAGAAAGAAAGAAAAAAGGCAAACCTTTTAGAGACTGATACAACCCTAAGATCTCAGGTTTTATAAACTGAGTAGGAACAGTATAGTTTCAAAGTAGAAAATGTAGAGACAAGGTAAGTGTGACTTTTCCCTTTAAGGCCCTCTTACAAATAAGGAGAACACTTACCGAGTCCAGTGAGGGAAGCCAGTGCACTGGACTGTGCCAGCTGTTTTGCAGGAGCTTTGTATCACATCAACAACAGGAACAACATGTTAACACAAATAGCCACGATTTCATAGTCATGAGAGTCTATGGTATTGTTAAATCTACTACTATTGCTGCTTCTTGGGGAGAGAAGAAACATTAAAAACATAACATTCATTTTAAACCAGTCTGGCCTTGAAAAGTATAATTCTGATGTGAGTTGAAATTGGTTTATAATGAGGAAAAATGTTGACAGCATATCGGTATTTTTATTTTTGAGGTATGGCCCATAATTTAAATTTTGCTTTCAGTATATTTTTTTAAGTGTTACTAAATATATGAGGGCTAGGTGGGAGAATCACTAGCTCTGTAAGAATTATAAGTGGTAAACTGTGAAAACTCTGAAGGTTCCTAATTCAATTCATTAGTAAAGCTAAATTGCATTAGAAATTATATGCCAATAACATGGTATCTATAAAAAAAATCAGGTGAAATAAACTGATCATCATCAAGAATTTTCCACAATACATTTTATAGAACAACAGTGTAATTATGAATTTGTGCACAGAGAAGTTGGACAAAACAAAAATATCTGTATAGTTGTAATATGGTGTCTATAAATCTGAACTTTCCAAAAGAGTAAAACATGCAAGAAGAGAATATTCAAATATCTGCTACTATTTCAACAAGGACAACAAAAAAAGTCCAGAATAGCCACCAAAACCATAACACCCCCAGAAAAACAAAGCCAAGAACACCCACAATATACCTTTTGTTGCTTTCCGGTGTGCATCTTTGGCTACATAATAAATTTCTTCATCTGTGACATCCAGTAGAATTTCAGTCAAAAGCATTTTTGTCAATAACATCTAAGGAATATATATTGTTTCTAATTAAATTACTATAGTTACTAATAATACAGTTTGACATTTTCAAAAATTTAAAAGGCAAAGCTTTAGGGGGGTGGGGGGCATTGGGGGGATAAGGCCACATATGTAAGACCTTAATCAATAAAGAAAAAAAATTAGCCTGTACTAGTGAAAAAAAAAAAGGCAAACTTTATTTTATCAAACATTTCAGATCAGTCATTCCAATGAATAGAATATCTTAAAAATAATTCTAAATTATAAGAATTTTTAAAAATTTCAAAATCATATGAATTAAAGAAATAAATGAGTTTATTTCTATCGAGACACTGAATTCTAATTCTAGAGACCCTTTGCCCCCTATAATAAAACACTGTTTAATTACAACAGTGGTATAAGGAAATGTGCTTAGTAATTCCTTTATAAGCTGTGATTTCATATTAGGTGTTACCTGGATTTTGCAGACATTATTATTGCCCAGGAAATCTATATATCAATACATACTTTATACTTGTTTCATGAATTCTCAGTTTAAATGTTTAAGATACCAACCAATAGTTTTTAAAAATTATACCAGGTGTACCAGTTAATGATGTGGATTTTGTAATCAAAGAAAACACGATAATTTCAAGAGAAACATCAAAAGTGCTTTATTCAAAGTAATGTCCATCACTACCTACACATTTCCCCATCTCTCAGGTAATTTGTGGATACCGTCCCAATAGAACTTTTCTTGTTTTGAGGCAAATCATTCAGAGTCCCAATTATCCACTTCTTCGTACATTTTGAAGTACTGCTAAGAAAGTGCGTGTGCCATCGATCAGAACAAGTGGTAATCTGAAGGTGCAAGGTCTGGTGAATACAGCGGGTGGGTTAATACTTCCCAGGCAAGATGTTTTAACATGTCTTTAACTGGTTTTGAAGTGTGTGATGATGCATTATCATAAAGCAAAATTACTTTGCCGTGTCTTCTGGCAGATTCTGGTCGTTTCATGATCAAAGCATGGTTCAAATTTATTGTCGGTAGCGATCAGTATTAATGGTTTCACCTGGTTTTAGAAGCTCATAATACACCACACCTCCCTGATCCCACCAAACGCAGAGCATTGTCTTCTTTCCGAAGCGATTTGGCCTTGTAGTCGATGTTGATGGTTGACCTGGATCAACCCTTGATTTTGTGCATTTGGGATTCTCAAAATAAATCCACTTTTCATCGCCAGTCACAATTCGATGCAAAAAAGACTTTCTTTCATGCTGTTGAAGCAACATTTTACTGATGACTTTTCAGTTTTCCATTTTTCTTTTGTTCAGTTGATGTGGCACCTTTTCCTTCCTTTAAAACAGTGGTTCTCAACCTTCTGGCCCTTTAAATACAGTTCCTCATGTTGTGACCCAACCATAAAATTATTTTCGTTGCTACTTCATAACTGTAATGTTGCTACTGTTATGAATCGTAATGTAAATATCTGATATGCAGGATGGTCTTAGGCAACCCCTGTGAAAGGGTCGTTCAACTGCCAAAGGGGTCTCAACCCACAGGTTGAGAACCGCTGCTTTAAAATCTTTCCCATGGCTTGTAAACGATCGGCAATTGTTTGCTGAGAAACGTTTAATCTTTCTGCAAGTTGTTTTTGAGTTTTGACACGCATCTTCATCCAATAATGCTTGTAATTGTTGGTCTTCAAATTTTTTCGGTTGACCTGGACATTCTTTGTCTTTCACATCGAAATCATCACTTTTAAAGAGTTTAAACCAGCATTCACAAGTATCTTGAGATGGAACATGTTCACCATAAGCTTCCTGAAGTATAAGATAACTTTTTCTTCAAAATAATTAATTAAACTTCCTGCAAATGCTCCTTTTTTGGCACGAAATTTGACGTTTTTAAGCATAAAAATATCTATGATGTTAACACCTTCAGCAAATTTGACAAATGAAGTTTTGAAGCTTGCTGTCAATACAACAAAATAGCATACATATCAAATCACATATATATCAACATATGTGTAACTCCATCTATTAAAAAAAATCCGCATTATTAACCGGTACACCTGGTAAACAAAATAAATCCTATAATATGTTATACGTCAATTATACCTCAAAACAATTTTAATAAAAAAATAAATTTACATTTTTACCATTTGATACTCTTTCTCTTCTTCAGTCATCTCTGGTTCACTTTGCTCTTCTTGAGGAACTGGAGATGGACTTCTGGTGACTTTTCCACTGCTTGCAGCCTCAACATTTTCAGCATCTTCATCTTCCTCATCACTATCCTAAAAAAGTAATACTATGTGTAGCCCAAATTCATGCTATAATCAATCATTATCTTGAACATTCTATTTTAAAACCCTAAGTTAAAAAGTGTATGAGAGCCCTAACCGGTTTGGCTCAGTGGATAGAGCATTGGCCTGCGGACTGAAGGGTCCCGGGTTCGATTCCGGCCAGGGGCATGTGCCTTGGTTGCGGGCACATCCCCAGTTTGGGGTGTGCAGGAGGCAGCTGAACGATGTTTCTCTCTCATCGATGTTTCTGGCTCTCTATCCCTCTCCCTTCCTCTCTGTAAGAAATCAATAAAATATATATTTTTTAAAAAAAGTGTATGAGATAGCCCTGGCCGGTTTTCTCAATGATTAGAGCATCGGTCTGTGGACCAAAGGGTCTCAGGTTCTATTTCCAGCCAAGGGCATGTACCTTGTTTGCAGGCTCAATCCCCTGGGTTGGGATGTATGCAGGAGGCAACCAGTAGATGTGTCTATCTCACATCAATATTTCTCTCTCTCCCCCTTCTCTCTCTCTAAAAATTAATGGAAAAAATATCCTTGGGTCAGGATTTTTAAAAAAACGTATATGAGCCCTAGTTAGTTTGGCTCAGTGGACACTGCATCAGCCCATGGAATGAAGGGTCCCAGGTTCAATTCCGATCAAGGGCATATACCTTGGTTGTAGGCTCGATCCCCGGCCCGGCCAGAGCACGTGCAGTAGACAACCAATCGATGTGTCTCTCACATCGATGTTTCTCTGTCTCTCCCTCTCCCTTCCACTCTCAAAAAAAAAAAAAAAAGGAAAAAATATCCTCAGGTGAAGATTAACCAAAATAAAAAGTGTATGAAAGAGATATATGAAAATAAAATTTCTCTCTAAATTACATTTTTGCATGATAAATTTCATTTGGTAATTTAGTGTTACCTGAGAGGAAATGTGATTATAAGGTGGTTTAAAATTATTTTAATTATTTTATTAAATTTGCTTATTTTTCTTAGTCAAATTTTATTGATTTTAGAGAGACAGGAAGGGGAAGAATAGAGAGAAACATCAGTGAGAGAGAAACATCAATCAGCCTCTGCCACACACTCCCTATTAGTGATTGAGCCAGCAACCCGGGCATATGCCTATACCAGCAATGGATGGGTTGATGTTCAGCCACTGAACCACACCGGCTAGACAATTTTTCTTTAAATCCTCACCTGAGGATATGATTTTAGAGAGAGAGGGAGAAAGAAACATCAATGTGAGAGATAAAGACATCAATCAGTTGCCTCCTGTATGCACCCCAAAAGGGGATCGAACCCACCTTTTGATGCATGGGACAATGCTCCAACAACTTAGCCACCCAACCTTAGTCAATTTTGATCTTTCTTTATAAATAACCAAAGCACATCATGCCCAGAGACTGAATTAATACCCAATATATCTGATGGCTGGAATGAGGGGCTTGTAAAACTTCCGGTAAACAAACCACAATCAGATTATTCAGTGTTAGTTTTACAGCAATTAATATAAGCTATTTACCTAAAATCATGTGACTTAAAATGAAAAATCTATAGTCAGTTTCCAGATCTCAGCTGACCCTGAAACTTAGTGAAATTTGCTTCTTTTTAGCTACTTAATGGACAGATAGATGAGAAATAAGGTCTACTTCAGATGGAAGAAATGCCAGCAGTTGACTATGTTCCATAGTCATACTCAGCAATCCTACTAAGTAGAAGACAAGATGATCAGCTAAATACTATGGAAAGGCCATTTGAACCAGGAGAAGGATTCATGTAACACAAGCCCAAAGGCATCTGTAAGGAGAAGGATAATCTCCAAATCCTAACAATTTTTTGACAGTGAAGAAAACCACCAAGCCTGGCCTGTGTGGCTTAATGGTTGAGCATTGACTTATGAACCAGGAGGTCACAATTCAACCGGTCAGGGCACATGCCTGGGTTGTAGGCTCGATCCTCAGTGTGGGGCATGCAAAAGGCAGCCAATCAATGATTCTCATCACAGATGTTTCTGTCTCTCCCTCTCCCTCCCTCTCTGAAATCAATAAAAATATTTTTTAAAAACAACCAAAATACACCACCAAGTCTGGAAATCCACTATTTCATGCAAAAATTTAAAAAAACAAATTTTAAGGTCAACTTTTAGTAGTGGTAGTCTGTTGTTTATTTCATAACATCCAGAACAAAAACACATCTTTGGCATGGTTCTTTTGTAAAAATAAAGAGTAATTTATGGCTTTTTATTGAATTTAAGCAAAATCAATAAGTCTAGTAACCTTAAGTCCAGTAACCTTGCTGTCCTTGAGATTTATTTTTGAAGCAGAAAATAGCCTTTGGAGGAGGACGCTTTTCCTAAGTGGCATATCAGCCAGTGCTATGACTGTCCTACCAGCTAGGAGCACATTATTGCTAAATAAATAATTCCTACACCACCTACATGATGAAGATTTAAATATTTAAAACAATGCTTCCTTCAGTGCTCATGTCAAAAAACTATAAAAATTATTATATCCTCTGTTACAAGCATACATTTAAATGTTCAAAAAAGGAGGCAGATTTCTTTCTCTAGTGCTGTTTTAACTAAGTTTTTATTTATAAGCCACCACTGGGAAGTTAGCTATACCACAACAAAAGAATACAAATGTTTGTCAATGTAAGACCTACCTCGCATTTCACTGAAAAATCTCACCAGAATGAAATGTTTTATAAACTCACTGTACTCTTTCTCCTTGCCCTGCCCTCAATAACACATCTATAATATAAAAAAATAATCCCCAATATACTTACTGAAGGTAATCTCAGGAACATTACTTTAATACTTTTCTATAGGCTAAAATACTTATTTCAATAACCTTTTCACATAGATACCAAATGGAGTTTCAGGACAAGGAATCTACTCACAAATTTACTTCTCTGAGGTAAACGAGGGCCATCACCTCCTTCAGCATCTTCTGTAGTCTTCTTTTCTTTTTTGGACAACTGTGAACGCTGTTGTTCCATTCTTTCTTTCTCCAACTTCTTTTGCTTTTCACGTTCCATTTTTTCAAGACCTTCCCGAATCCAAGCTGGAAGAGTCCTGCGTTTTACTGCATCTGTTTCACATGGGAAAAAGAAAATTTGTAAGTCAGTTAAGTAAAAATCTTACACATGAGTGCTTTATTCCTGAATTTCTAACTTGTGAATTTTTGGAAAAAGAATACTGGTGCCACTTGAGCGTTTATAATAAATACTATCATTTTCCAGCAAGACAGTGCTAATAAAAACAACCCATTAAACATCACACTTTTTAAAAAAATCATCACTTTTAATAGCAGCATAAACATTGTATTACTGTTTACAATGTGCCAAGGCAGTATGAAAGCACATTAAACCATCACCTCAATCCTAAAAAAAAGCCCTAAATGATCACTATTACTTGATCTCTTTTGCAAATGAGAAAACTGAAACTCAGATATTAGGAGGTGTGCTCAAGGTTACAAAGCCAGTGAGCAATGATATGGGCTACTTCAGAGCCAAACTTACATTACATTGCTTCTTAAAATATGAAGACAGAAGAGAGTCAAACACAAGTCCACTTCACAGTGAAAATTCACTTATACAAGTATTCCATCTGGGATACTTTTTAATTTATTCCTTAAGTTATAAAAGAAGTAATAATCTTCCTAAAATGTCTACTTTGTGATAAGAAAAAAAAACTTAAATGTTCTGGTCCATTAAGTGCTGGATTTGGATTCCCAGATATATAATAGCATAAATACAAAATTTTTCATTGGGAATAAGTTAGTCCTGTTATTTAAGAATTGAAATGTTCTGCAAAATACTATGGAAAGTGAAATAATGAAAGGAAAATTAATCTTACAGCAGTGTATCAGATGAACTGAGAGTGGAAAGAATCCAGAAAGAAAAACTAGAGGCTTTAAAAGGCGAAAATGAAAAACCAGAAAAGGCGAAAATGCTCACATATCGGTATAATGTATCAAATTGTCAACATTAAAAAAATCAAAATGCTATAGCCATGATAAGTTTATCTCATCACAAAATCTATGTTTAAGATAAAGTATTATTTTAAAGAAAATTATTCAAAGTATTTAATATTTTATACAAAATCTCCTCTGAAATTAAAGTTTTATGACTATAAAATAAAAGGGTTTTAAAGTGTCAATCCTAATATATCAGAGGTATTAGAACAATTTAAGAAAGTAAGACATCCTTTTTATATGATCAAGAAATCATGCCGATGTGGTTCACTAAACTTAAATAACTACCAATTTGTGGAGGCTCCTGCTTCACAGGAAGTGCAATAGGTGAACGCTGCCGATCCCTGAATGATGATGGCCTTTCTCTTCGATTCTGGGGAGGTGCTGGAGGTCCTGGAGGTCCTGGTTGCCAATAAGGAGGATGAAATCCACCTTGCGGTGGACCAAAAGCAGCCCCATGCTGAAAGAGTATGGCAGTTTATTTTCCTTCCCGTTAATACAATATACACTCTGGGATACACATGTGTTATGAACTGGGACAGTAGAAATCCATGTGTGCAGCAAATCCAAGAACTCCATCGTTCTAATATCCACCAATATTTCTGTAGCCCCAAGAACCCAAGCTTACTTTTCTTAAGAAATAGATTTTCTGCCTACATAAATGCAAGAGCCATCTAAAATCCTTCTGATACACTATTTTCAAGTACAGAAAATAATATATATGAACTTTTTCATTCTGAGTCCATTTATAAACTAATCCTTTCACTACAAGAAACCAAATAAATGTCTATTTTTCTATAACCAGAAAATACAAGAAAAAATTTTTAATCAATTCCAACTTCCTATTTCTTGTGAATTTGTTTCTAAAACCTTACAAGAAATATCTATTTTAAGCAAAGATAAAAGTTACTGAATCATTACATTAAACTATTTTTTTTAATTTTACCATTTTCAGAGGCGTTTCTAAGCCATTTGCTGACCTCTTTGTCTTGTTAGCAAGAGGATCTACCAGGCAAATGTGGTAGAAGTTCCCTGCCACAAATACCTATCATATCTGTATACCAAGTATGAGTATGTAACAAGTATCTGAATATATATGAATAAGATTACTACCTCAAGGTGAATATTGTTTACATTTATGTCTATTACCTATATAGTGATATAATGTATGTTTTTTCAAAATTTTATATTATGATAGCTTAGTTTATAAGGTAACAACTGCAATCAGTTATTTCAAAATGACACGTATTATTATACTTTAATTAAGAGTGGACCTTGGCAGAGTGGTTAGAAAAAAACAATGACACTATTCCCCATAGAGTTCTATGTCCCTAGGAATGAATTAGATGCTACAAAAGAAATTATGTATAATTCCATTAACAAACATGTCATGTCAGAATGGAATAAAAAAGACAAAACTAGAAAAAGTCATAACTTTACAGAGAAGAAATTGCATTTAGAAGAAGATCTATATTCTTCAAATCTTAACCATAATCTATTATTGATAATGTATTCAACTACTGTGCATTTCCTAAACTTTATTGAACATTTAAATATTCCATTATGAAATTATAAATTAGAAAACAAAACATCAAATAACTATTTCCCTTACACATTTTTCATTTTATGTAAATTTTCCCTAACAATCTTTTTGATTTTCCTAAGCAAATCAGAAAATAAAACTCTTAATGTTTTAATTCTCAAAAATTGATAACTTTTCTGAGACATAATATGCACTTATCTGTATAAAACTGAAAAGTGAAACACATATCTCAGGTACTCTTGATGAGACAAACTTCCAAAGAATGGATTATGTGCACATCTACAGTATTAAAGCAACAAAATATCTTTCACCTGATAGTCAAACTGGTTCACTGGGCCCACTGCAAAATTATCGGGTGGTCCACCAAAGTTGTGATTGTTCTGGTTAAATATATGCCTGTTGTCAGGGGCAAATTCCCCACTGTCCTGACTGTTGCTGTCTTCGGAAGGAGGAACAATGTCCATTGGGCCTGGTGTTGGTGGCATCCATGGCTGATCTGGAGGGGGATGTGGGGGTTGCTGATGCATTCCCCATTCTATTTAGAATTTAGGCATAAAAACATTCAACAGGGAGTTATAACAAAATCAACACAAATTTTTAAGCTCTCAAGAAAGCTAGATTTTTCAGTAAAGAAATAAATATAAAATTTATGACTTCTTGGTCAAATTCCTTTTGTATAACTTAAAAACAAGCAATGAAGTAATAAATCATTCAAATGAGCTAACTCCACTCAATTCATATCCTAAGTAAATGAAAACAAATGCCCCAAATTATTTTTAATAAATGTAACAAAAGTGAAAGCAATTTTTGTTGTTTTCTTTTTCTGTTCAGTACCACCACCATAAAAATAATGCCTAAGGATTTTTATATAATTTCTTTCTTCCATGAACACATTTATCCTCACAACATCCCTGTGAGGTAGGGGGAAATCAGGTATTTATTTATTTATTTTGCCAATTTCAGGGGAGGAAATTGGGCACACAGAAATAAATCACTTGCCAGGGTCACAAAGAAAACCAGTAGAGCAAAGATGGGAAAGTGGATGATGCTAGGGTGAGTCATTTATAAACTTAAACTTGGGAACTAAAACATTTTCAAACTTAAAGTTTAGTTTAGCATAGCTTCAAGAAAACTAGAAATGAACTACATCACAGTATCAAATATTAGAATATTCATTATCCTTTTAAAAGTGATGTTAGAGGATTACTTTCTGAGTTTTCCATTCTTACATTGAAAAACAAAAATAACTACTAATAGGGAAAGGAGAGATGACTTCACCATCAGCACACTATAAATAAAGTGACTATTAAAAATAATTAATAGCACAAGTTTTGAAAAACTGAACTAGCATCAAGGAATCTAAATCATACTGTGAAGTAAAAAAACAAGCAAGCAAACAAAAAAAACAGATAAAAACTTATGGAAGATCTTCACTATCTGAAAAAAAGGGAAGTAAATATGGGTGGATAGTAGGGGCAGAATATATTTGACAGACTAATCTGTCACATAGTGACACAATTTTTCTTTAGAAACTAGACATGTTTTGCTCTGCCAGTCCTGCTTCTGAAAGGCCAGAGGTTGCAAGAGAGAGATTATAGAATGCTCTCTTCCCTAGATGCCAAGTGAGGTTTCCAGTGTTCCCAGCCCCTGTCAGCCTAGGAATGAAGAACCAAGAAAAGAATCAAACTGAGTGCCACAGTGCTAGCAGACTGAGTACAGAATAATTTTAACCACAAAATTTCAAGGTCAAATCTAATTTAAACTGCCTATTCTTCAAGCATTGATTTCAAGAAGTCATAAGATTAAATAAGCAAATTAAACAATTTAATTTTAATCCTTATATTTTAAAAACAATCCTAAAATTTGGAAAACATAAACAACAAACCTGGTTGCCACATCCTGTTAAAGTTTGAATCCCCTTGAAAATTCCCATGATTGTTTGGACCAGATTCCATTGTAGGCATATCTTGTCCATTTGGCATCATTCCTGGTGGTTGTTCTACCATGCTTTGCTGTCCTGAAGCTTCTCTTTGGGCAATCCAAGCTTGAGCCAATGCAGCCCAATCAATCTGGCCTAATATAATTTAACATAGCAGAATTGAGCATTTAGAATGTAGAAGCTAAAAGAATAGTGCCTCTATGTAAAATAAGCATCTCAGTAATTTCTTCCTGGAGATTTTAAATATTACCAAATGTTATGACTGAAAGGACGCTCAGATAACCTGTATTCAGGCTACAAAATAAAACAAACTACTTAAGACTTTCTGAAAAGGATTCCATAAAAACACTCTTAACCAATTAAGTTCTAATATTAACTCATAAGAAATTTATCCTCTGCACTTTAGTTGAGTGAGATACATATATAAATATACGTAAATATAAATAAATAAATAAATAAATATATGTTTTTATTTGATTTTAGAGAGGAAGGGAGAGAAACATGGATCAGCTCCCCCCTGCAGACCCCCTCACTGGGATTGAGCCCCAAACCCGGGCATGTGTCTTGACCCGGACCAGCGACCTTTTGGTTGGTGCATGGGATGATGCTCAACTAAGTGAGCCACACCAGCCAGGGCAGTTTACTGAGTTTTTTTAAAGTCTTATTCCTTTTTTTTTTTTTTTTTTAACAAATGACCAAACTCACTCATTTATTCTTCAAATAGGTCCTCTTCAGGCCTACACTGGATCCTATAGATCTCAGATGAGTATAACTATCCCTATTCCTCCTCATAGTCACCCTTCTTTAGTTTCAGCTCCCTTCTCTAGTCAAAATACCTCTATAAAAACTTATTAGTCATTCTTTACTCAAATTTATTGTCCCCAGTAATTTAAGGTTCTCCTTTATTTCTCAAATATCTATACTTAACGTTTTAAGATCTAATATTATTAATAAAGGAAAAAAAAGTAAAATAAGATAGTTTTTCAGATCTATTTAGTCAACATTAAAAAGGTATTCTCATACATTTTTTAAAAATATTATTTTTATTGATCTCAGAGAGGAAGGGAGAGTGAGAGATAGAAACAACAATGATGAGAGAGAATCATTGATTGGCTAACACCTTCTGGGGATTGAGCCCACAACACGGGCATGACCCCTGACTAGGAATCTAACTGTGACCTCCTGGTTCATAGATGGATGCTCAACTGCTGAGTCACATTGCTGGGCTTATTCTCATACATTTTGATGGAAACATAAATTGGCATAATCCTCATGAAGTTAAACTTGGCAGTGTCTACCTAAAACTTTCTCTCTCATCACTGATGTTTCTCTCTCTCTCTCTCTGAAATCAATAAAAATATATTTTAAAAAATAAAAACGACAATTAATCATCCAAAAGTGGATCAATTAAATTACAGTATCTTCCTATAACAGAATGCTATGTAGCTATTGAAAAAATAAGTTCAGATTAACCTAATAAAGGCAGGGCATTGGAAGGGATCCTATCAATGAAACAAAATTGGCCATGAGTCAATAACTATCAAAGCTAAGTAACAAATGGGGGTTCCCTATACTCTTTTCTACATCTGTATATGCTTGAAATGTTCCATAATAAAGAGAAATGACTTAGCATACCATCAATTGACTATGCTCTACACTGAATTATAAGATTCAGAATTAAGAGAAGTATGCTTTACTTAAATTACACGTTTAAGAAAGATTTTCTACTTTCTTAGAAAAAAAGAACTAAGTCAGTTTTAAAGATTAAATACTGACCACAAAATGATCCAATAAACCAATTCCAATTCCATCTTCTTTAATCCCATCAAATTATTTCCCACTTATCTCCACATCTCTCTCCTCGCCCACCCTCCGATTTCGGTTTATTTCCTTACTTGGATCCTGCTGGTGCTGGAATGACTGCATCCACTGTTGTTGGTTCAATGGCCATTGCTGCCAAGGCTGTCCTCCTTGATCCCACATCCTGACTTTAAAAATATATTTGATTTTCTATTTTCAACAAAATGAACATAGTTTAAAAATGAGAATGAGAGTTCTTTAATTTTAAAAGCTCACACAGAAAATATTATACAATAATACATTTATGTGATCAGAGCTCTAAAATTCTGGTCAATAGGTTGCCAGAGGCAACTGGAATTTTTAAGTTGGCAAGCAAAAATAGAAAATTTCATGTTAATACTGGTATCAGAATTTGGTGGTAGGCATAGCTCAAATCAATTTAGCTCAAAAAGGAAAAAAAATCTAATTTTTCCCAATATAAATCTCTTGAAATATAATTACTTTGAAAATAATAAGAAAAAAAATGTGATTTCATCTCCCCCAACCAAGATTCCTTGAAGAGAATAACCAAATAACTCTAATAATGAAGGAGAACTCTCCCTTATAAATAAGTATGGCTAGTGAATGCTTAAGGTAAAATCAATTTAGGAAACTGCCATACTGCCAAACCTAATAGAACAACTGATTCAGACAATCTTAGAAGCAATGGGAAATCACAAATTGAAAAGTTGCCAAAATATCACCCTACAGATTTAATAATCTGTAATAGTGCCACCTCATAAGATATGATATTATGTCCCCAGAATCATTTAAATAAATACTTTCACCAAAAATGTTTAATCGAATCCAACTGAGCTTTTCTATCTTACTTCTAGTGTGAAGGAACTATAAGGGGACAAAGGAATGAGATAAACAGTATCAAAGAAACAATCAGATAAATCCAGAAGGTGAGGTAGTTTACTGGACCAGGATTCTTACATATAAACAGCATGAAAAAGACTGGGGAAGAGAACATATGTTAACAACTATTAAATCTACATAATGGATATGGGGGAGAGGGTCATCACACTAGTTTACCTTTCTGTAAACTAGTTTGAAAACTTTCATAACACAAAGTTTAAATTCCTACAAGTCTAATATCTTTGTACTTTATACAACCCTCTTCAAGAACCAATGACACACATGGTAAGCAGCATATGTTTCTTCAATTTTGTACCTTAGGGCTTAGTATAAAATAGGCATTAAATAAATGTTTACTAAACTAATCCTTCTAGACTGACCCTTTCCTCTAAAAACAAGGCAAAAGCCTTAATATTGCAGGATCACAAAAAACAGAGAAGCCAGATAATAAGAAAGTAAAACACACCAACTCAAATGAGACAGTTGGCTATTATAACTCAGGCTCTTAAAGAGTTTGCAACTCCAGTCTTTGTAGCATTTTTATAATTCTATCAATGGCAGATGCTGACTTCTCAATTGAAGAGCACTGTGAATTAGGGAAGATGCATTCGTTTGTTACCTTGACTTACTTAAGAATTAGTGCACTTATCTACTGGTTGCATGAATATAGTCTATTATAAAGGCATTATTAGCATTCGGCTAAAGAGGCACTACACAGCACCCCAGTTGAAGCCAACAATTGAACTGGTTAAATATACTTTTCTAATCTCTCTTGAGATTTTCATTCCTCTCCCAATTCCCCGCCCCCTCTTCTTTTCCAACTGTACCATTAAAGCCCTTTAAAAACTAAATGACTCATTACAGCCCTTGAAAAGTAACTTCACTTATAACTTGAATTAAAAGGTAACAAATAAATAAAGAGGAAACGCCCAAAAGATATAGCAACTGATATTTTGACTGACCTTAGAGATTCACCTTCTGTTTAAAATTTAGACAGATTCAGACTACAGCTTGGAAGCATAGCAGCAAAATTACTTATGCCCTGAAAAAAAAAAAGTATAAGTTTGCTCTTAGATTATGAAAAATTAGAATAAAAAGATACTTTAGAGATGTAACATGAAAATGTGATCATCTCCAAATTATTTTGGAACTTATTCTTTTATTAACTATAATGAGAAAGTATTTACCATTATAAGGTTAAGGGAAACAGGTACATCAGAAATGGGAAGGCAACACTTTTTAACATTTTTTTCTTTCAAAATATCTTTTTTATTTACAATAAAATATCTTTATTTATTAACAATAAAACAGTGTCAAACCATTTAGGGATTGTTAAAATATGCTGAGAAAAAAGGAACAAACATTTGAAAAGAAGATCTCATCCACCTGGTGGTACAAGTGAGTACAAGTGAGGCAATAAAATGCATTAATTCAGATTTTTCTATGGAATTTTAAGTTTAAAAGTTAACAGTAGTAGGTGAGAACAGTCAGATTCTTCCCGTTAGGATCAGAGCTTTTCAAAAGTTGATAGAAAAAAAAATCTATTCATCTTTTATCTTCCATAAGGTAAGGGACTGCTTCCTCCACATAGCAATTACTAAACACCAAACAAATAAAATGGTCTGTAGCTCCATCTTTTTGTTCACTTTCAAAAATTAAATAGAAAAAGAAAGAGAAATCTACAGATTTTTTAAAAATATAATTTTATTGATTTTTTTACAGAGAGGAAGGGAGAGAAACAGAGAGTTAGAAACATCGATGATAGAGAAACATCGATCAGCTGCCTCCTGCACACCCCCCACTGGGGATGTGCCCGCAACCAAGGTACATGCCCTTGATCGGAATCGAACCTGGGACCCTTGAGTCCGCAGGCCGACGCTCTATCCACTGAGCCAAACCGGTTAGGCCCGGCCGTGGTCGGCAAACTGCGGCTCGGCAAACCGCGGCTCGCAAGGCACAGGCGGCTCTTTGGCCCCTTGAGTGTGGCTCTTCCACAAAATACCACGTGCGGGCGCGCATTTACAGTGCGATTGAAACTTCGTGGCCCATGCGCAGAAGTCTGTATTTTGTGGAAGAGCCACACTCAAGGGGCCAAAGAGCTGCATGTGGCTCACAAGCCGCAGTTTGCCGACCACTGGAACCGTTAGGGCATCCAGATTTTTTAAGATATGAAGAATCAAAGAAAGTTGATCAGCACAGTCCATAATGACTGGTATAAGCAATAACAATTACACAAGTCATATAAATGTGAGGCTTTGGGCAAATTAACTCTGTGTTATTTTCTTATGAAGGATTTGGAGTAATGTTCTGTTATCTAGTCCAAAAAAGGCACCTCTGATTATGAGAACAAAATTTAGAGTTATGTTGAATTGTGTAAAGTGACAGGTTTTAAGAAAAGACTTGGTATACTTGAATATTTAACATAAAGTTGTATTTATGTTTTAGCATCTTGAACAATGGTTGATAAAGAGTTTCACTAATTATTCTTAACTCAAGAAGAAAATTGTGATTTGATGGTAAGGATTTAAATGCCCTATTCTTGCCCGGCCAGCGTGGCTCAGTGGTTGAGCATCGACCCATGAACCAACATGGTCAGGGTACATGCCTGGGTTGCAGGCTAGGTCCACAGTGTGGGGCATTCAGGAGGCAGAATATCAATGATTCTCTCTCATCATTGATGTTTCTATCTCTCCCTCTCCCTTCCTCTCTGAAATCAATAAAAAAATAAAAATAAAAAACAAAAGCCCTACTCTTTCTTCCTTCATTTTCACCATAAAATCCGCGACAAATGCAAAATCTGGAAAACAAAAGGAATATGAAGGCACACCTGGCAATAATAAAAAATACGTATCTTTTAATTTCATTATGGTTTAGTGAAATAATATAGCCTTGTTATGACTATGTTATTGACTAAAAACGACATTTACACATTGGCTTAATAATGATTTGGAAAATAATAACTGTTAAAGATAGGTAATAAGTACATTAGGGTTCCTACTCTACCTTTGTACTCTCTGAAAATTTCCACAATAAGTTAAAGGTAATAAAGAGTACTTGTTATAGAGAATCTTATATTGAATTTTCATGTGTTTTTTGTCACATAAGAATCTTCTTGAGGGGGCAGAAGAAATCTTATAATTATTTAAAAATTCCATAGCGTTTTGCCCAAAGTATTATTTTCCTTTAACCTTAATATTAAAGAGCCTTAGTCTCAACTTCAAAAGTTTGTAAGACTTTGTTTATTGTCGAGCCAGACTATAAGATTTTCCCTTTATGAGGTTTAATTAACTGCTATTTTCTTGGAAATAACTGGGATTTGGAAAGAAAAGAAAGATCAATAACCACTGTTTGCATCAGATCATCCAAGTTATCACACTGGGCTGTAAAGACCTAGCTTATAGCTATGTCCAGTGTTATAGACCAGCCGTGGGCAAACTACGGCCCGCGGGCCGGATTCGGCCCGTTTGAAATGAATAAAACTAAAAAAAAAAAAAAAAAAGACCGTACCCTTTTATGTAATGATGTTTACTTTGAATTTATACTAGTTCACACAAACACTCCATCCATGCTTTTGTTCCGGCCCTCTGGTCCAGTTTAAGAACCCATTGCGGCCCTCGAGTCAAAAAGTTTGCCCACCCCTGGTTATAGACTGAACTGTGTCCCCCTGAGAAATATGCTGAAGTCCCTACCCCCACTCCCGTAAATTGTGAATGTGATCTTATTTGGAAATAGGGTCTTTGCAGATGTATTCAAGTTAAAATGAGGTCATACTGGATTAAGGTGGGTCCTAATCCAATATGGTTGGTGTCCTTGTAAGAACACACACACACCACCACCACCATGTAAGAAACCAAAGAGCAGACACTGGACAGACATATCCACAGCCAAGGATTGCTGGAAACCACCAGAAGAAGCTAGGAAGGGGCAAGGAAGAATCCTCCCCTATAGAAGAGGGAGAGAGGGAGAAGGAGAAGAGAGTAAGAAGGAGAAAGAGAGAGACAGAGACAGACAGAACAAGCAAGCCAGAATGGCCCTGCCAAAACCTACATTACAGACTTCCAGCCTGGAGAACTGTGAAAGAATAAATTTCTGCTATTTTAGGCCACTGAGTTTGTGGTAATTTATTACAGCATTCCTAAGAAACTAATACAACCAGAAATGACCATCATTCATCTTACCCATTTCTTAGATGACAATATATTAGAACACTGCGCTTTGAGGTTCTTAAAAATACCTGTTTAAATGACAGTCACTGACTGTGTGAGAAGATGAACGAAAATGAAAATGTAATTTTTGTTGTTGTTGTTAATCCTCACCGGAGGATATTTTTTTGCATTGCTTTTCAGAGTGGAAAGGAGGGAGAGAGAGACAAAGGAGAGAGAAACATGGATGTGAGACACATCAACTGGTTGCCTCCCACACCAGGGATTGAACCTGCAACCCAGGTACTTGCCCTTGACCCAGAATCAAACCTGAAACCCTTCCATGCACCAAACCTGAAACCCTCCTGTGCACGGGCCAACGCTCTAACTGGCCAGGGTGAAAATGTAATGTTTTAAAGCCCTTAAGCATCAATTGCAAAATCAAAGATATATAGAAGCACATCTATCCTTTGATACATACAGTCAAATGTTTCTCACATCAAATATAAAGTTTAGAAACTACCAACTGCAATAATCCTCTTCTCCCCTGCCCTTTCAGTCCTACACACCAGATGACTGATGTCAAAATAAAAAAATTAATTTGTTCAAGTTAGGTGGAAATGGCACTAGTAAAGGTTAACTTTATAATATTTGAAATGTGGTAAAAAAATTTTTTTTTGCTATTTCATTTGACGCATTTTGATATATACTGGAATACTTTGCAGCTTGCAGCTTAGCAGAGTTATTTAAAAAATATTGGAAAATTGGATAGTTTGGTTATAAAAGTAATAACTGAGCCCTGACAGGTTTGGCTCAGCGGATAGAGCGTCGGCCTGCGGACTGAAGGGTCCCAGGTTCGATTCCGGTCAAGGGCATGTACCTTGGTTGTCTGCACATCCCCAGTGGGGGGTGTGCAAGAGGCAGCTGATCGATGTTTCTCTCTCACTGATGTTTCTAACTCTCTATCCCTCTCCCTTCCTCTCTGTAAAAAAAAAATCAATAAAATATATATATTTTAAAAATAACTGAAAAATAAATGAGCGAGAGCCTAAAGGTAATAACATCCCAGTAGCAACAAGTACATATAGTATCTTGGTTCTAATACCATTCTACAATAAAAGGAATCAGGGATCCTTAGAGAAAGAGCCGATTCTTAGGATTGGGGACATACAAAATGAGCCTGGAGTACTAAGAAGAAAGAAAGTGCTTTAAAAAAAAGAAGGAAGGAAGGAAGGAAGGAAGGCCGGCCAAAAGTACACAGCCAACTGAAAGAGCTCCTGAAATCCAAAACTGAAAAAAATTTGAACAAAATAAAATAGTACTGATACAAATATTTATGAGTCCATGCTGATATAAATAAATGATTGAATAAATGGGAAGGAAGAGACAAATCTCCCATGGAGAATTCCAAATAAATTATGTGGATATTCTCCACTCCTGAATTATGAACTCTGCAAAGGGACTTCCTCCTAATAAGTACAGTATAAAAGGAGTGAATAGGGGAGAGTAACTTGACAAACACTACTTTAAGCATATGACCGAAGTCAATCTCAATGTGATGTCATTTTTATAGTCTACTAGAGGCCTGGTGCATGAAATTCTGCAAGAGTAGGCCTTCCTTCCCCAACTGCCACACCGGCAGGCACCCGGGACAGGGCTTCCCTTGCAGCCCAGCTTCGTCAGGAAGGACGTCCAGTCTATTAGCATATTACATTTTTATTATTATAGACTAGAGGCCCAATGCACAAAATTCATGCAAGCATAGCTGGCTGCCACGCGGCCCCATGGCCCCTGCCCCCCACACTGGTTGTTCCAGAAGGTTGGTCTGCCATCCGGTCTAATTAGCATATTAGTTCTTTATTATATAGGATACCCTTGATTGGATGCCTGTGATCTTCCTCTCTAAAACCCCTAACACCAATCTTATCATGAGGAAAACATCAGACAAATTGCAACAACAAGGCATCCTACAATATACCTGACCAGTACTCTTCAAAACTGTCAAGGTCACTGTATTAGTGTGCTAGGCCTGCCATAACTAAGTACCACAAACTAAGTAGTTTAAATAACAGAAATTTATTTCCTCATAGTTTTGGGGGCTAGAAGTCCAAGATCGAAGTATCAGCAGGGTGAGTTTCATTCTGAGGTCTATATCCTTAGTCTGTAGATGAATGACTCCTCCCTATGTCTATGTTACTGGGGAGATGACGAGACCTCGGTTCTTGTCTTGATAGAAAAGTTTCAATCAAGAGACAAAGTATAGAAAAGCAAGCAGTAATTTATTGACCGCAGCAAAAACACACTTAGGACAGTGAAACAAGGACCATTTCTCCTCTGGTTGCAAGTCTCATGTGGTCTCTTAGAGGCTAGGGGATATGTGCCTGTGGGGGAAGGAAGGGGAAGGGAATGAATGAGTGTGCTCCTTGGAGGGAGAATGCACCCATCATCTTCATTTTCAGGGGGTTTTAAGGCTGGACATTTAGGGGAGGTCTTAGGGGAGAATCAATAGAATATTCGTCAGCTTTATGCTGATGCACCAAAATGAGATTTATTCCCTTAATCTGTCTATCCTTGGGTGTGGATGGAAAACTGCACTAATTGGATTTCTGTTATCTGTCTCCCTGAGTAGGATGATTCAAGCTATTGACCCTCTGGCTGGAGAGAAGTACATTTACTCTTAAGTGTCCACGATTCAGAGAAGATAGGATTTACTAGGCGGCTGCAAACTGCTATTTAACTATCTGTCTTAGATTCCCTACCTAGTCCACTTAACCCTGGAATTTTCCTAGCTTCTTACTATTTTATATCTTTACATGCTCTCCCCTCTGTGTCTTAATCTTCTTTTCTTGTAAGGACACCAATCGTAATGGTTAGGGCCTACTCTAATGACCTCATTTTATTTCTTTATAGACACTATCTCTTTGCATTGCTTTTCAGAGTTTTCGGAGGGAGAGAGAGAGAGAGAAACAAAGGAGAGAGAAACATGGGTGTGAGATACTGTCACATTCTGAGGTACCAAAGTTAGAATTTCAACATGAATTTTGGAGGGATACAATTCAGCCTGTAACAGTCACTGAAAACAAGAAAAGCCTGAGAAATGGTCACAACCAAGAGAAGACTGAAGACACATAATAACTAATAACTAAATAATTTGGTATCCTAAATGGGGTCTTGGGACACAAAAAAAGAACGGTGGATTAAAATTTAGGAAACATGTGGACTTTAGTTAATAATGTGTCAACATTGTGTCCATTAATAATAATGTATCCATTAATTGTGCAACAAATGTATCATACTCATGTATATTAATAACAAGAGAAACTGTGTGTAAAGGGGGTTTGGGTTGATTACTTGGGAATTCTGTACTATCTGCTCACTTTTTCTGTAAATCAAAAACTGTTCTAAAAAATAAAGTCTATTTGTAAAAAAAATAATAATTAAATATAGTTTCATGAACATCTTAAAAGAACTGACTTACTGTTGTTACTTTCCCAATAGCCCCAGGATGCTTTACAAAGTAGTCACACGAGTGAGTCCTTATAAAGTGTTCTGGTCTGTTTTTATTGCTTTTGCCTTGCTGCATTCCAATCAGAAATTCCAAGTTGTTTTGCTCTTTTATAAGCTAACCACCGATAATCAAAATTTGTCAAGTGCCCAAGGTGTTCAGATGACAATATCCTCCGCAGGATAATACAACTAAAATATTGGACACTGCCTCTTCCACTAGTGAAACTTCATACATGATGCCCATCACTGGATAAAACAAGATTACAAACTAAGGAAGCTAATTATAGTCAACAGGACGCATTTGCCCTTGGCTGCGCCTGCGTAGTCAGAGCTGCACAGCGCAAAAGGTCCAGGTCCGGGTCCTCCGCCGCCTCCGCCCCCCTCGCAACCCGCTCCCCACAGAGGGTTCCCACTGCGCACGCGCAGTGCTTAACGGCAGGTCAGGAGCCCCAGAATTAGTCCCTTCTCATCCGAGAAGAAAACTCTCATAGTTGAGAGAAAGGGGTGGTGATCACTCTCCTTCATGGCAACATTTCCTTTTTATCGAGAGGACCGGTTTGATTCACCAAGTCAGGCAGACGCCGCGGCTTTAAGGGGATGAGGTCCCAGCGGTAGCGCCAAGCAGCGTAAGCAGCCTACGTGTTTTAAGTTATGCTACCTTCGCCACAGAAACCAAGAAGTTTGTAACGGCCCGGCAAGTCCCCACGCGTAATTGTTTTCCACCACTTACTCACTGTGATTCCGGAATACGGTTGCCGCCACCGTTCCTGTAATACCTCCAACCCTTTCGCTGCTTCTACTTCTTCCCGAACAAGACAAGATGGCGCCCGAGTGGTCTCACCCGGAAGTAGTATTTATAACATCCGCCTGTCATCTGAAGCCGCACGGTTCCTGCCTCCGGGTCTTTGAGCACTAGACGGTGCCCGGTTTACGTGTTGCCGCGCCATTTTTGTTATGGGCAGTACCACCTGGTCTCTGGTACACGCCGCGGAAGTGTCCGAACATTCCTGTACATTTCCCTTAAATGTCGCCAGCGCTATGCCCGGCCAAGAGCTTAAGTATTCTGTGCAGTGCGCCCTGCAATTTTTTACTTTAGCAACGCGATCCTCCTTCAGGGGCGAGGGATGTTCTTCCCGAGGAACACTTCAGCTTCGGAAAAGGGGGCTGAGTTTACGGCACTAGTTTCAGACTACGGAAGGGCCAAAGGGTCAAACTGAAGAACTGGCCCGTGGCTCGGAGCGCCCGGAGCGGTGGGCCGGCCTCGGTCTGGCGCGAATTCCTGGCGAACGGCGGCCTTCGGTCTCACAGCGCCGCCGAGGGCTCCGCCTCAGGGCCCAGACGGTAGCGGTGGGGCCCGTCTGGAGGGTAGCGATGGCGGGGACCTTAGCCGACCCCGCAGCGGTCACTCTTTTTGTTTACCTCGAAGCATCGCGCCCCCTTCCGGGGACACGGGCTCAGCGGAACCTCCCCCAGCAAGTCCCGAGGTTCCGCTCTTTCCCGCTGAGCTTTAAGGAAAAGCGGCGGGGAGGTCCAGTTTCCACCTCCCAGCTGCAAGATGGCCCCCAGAAAGGGTGCAGGCAGCGCAGTTCTTGGAGTGGCATCCTGGACTCCGTGTTGTTTTACTCTGAAACAATGTCCAGGGATAAAAAGTATCGATTTCCAGGCCAGCGTCTACAAGTTACAAGGAAAACCAAAATGTTCCGAAGATACACTATCCATTTCTCAACGAAGTCTTGGAAAGTGCCTTGCTGGGGAGTGAATGAATGAAACGTGTGTGTGACCGAAGGAAGTGCACCAAGTGTCTAAACTGTTCCATTGAGAATGGTGCAAAAGACATGCAAGTGACAGTAGGAATAAGGTAGCAGGACTACACGGAGGTAAATGTAGACGCCACTGACATAAAACCTAGTCTTCCTTAGTAAAACACAGGAAACCAAGATGCTCCTGGGTGAGATGTGGAATAAAGTCCTCCATAGCGAAACCTCTGCGGGATCAAGTCCCAGAGGCTCTTCCGCCAGAGCTTCACCCGGGAGAGCCCGCCGGCGGCAGGGGCAGCCGGCTGCGGAGGCTGGGATGCCGCTGGGGATGCCGCCCTCCACCTCCCCGCATGTCCGCTCAGCGCGCACACACTGCACACAGACCGATACAGGTTTAAAAATCACTTTATTAATCTCTGACTTTGCTCTGTGGTTTTCTTCACTTTCCAAGTTTTTTTTTCAAGTTTACTTTTCTGAGAAACATTCTTTTTTTTTTTTAAAGTATATTTTATTGATTTTTTACAGAGAGGAAGGGAGAGGGATAGAGAGCTAGAAACATCGACCAGCTGCCTCCTGCACACCCAGACTGGGGATGTGCCCGCAACCAAGGTACATGCCCTTGACCGGAATCGAACCCGGGACCCTTCAGTCCGCAGGCCAAGGCTCTATCCACTGAGCCAAACCAGCCAGGGCCTGAGAAACATTCTAATAAGAAAAACGTTCTTTCTCTGTAAAGCCTGATCGCTAGTGAAACTTTTGTATGTCCCTGCTTCCTGTAATCATCATGCAGTTGTTCTCTTGTTTCCCTAGTAAAGTTGAAGCAATTTTCTGAAAGATTTATTTTTCATCTGTGCTTTCCAACTGGCCAGCAAACTGCATAGCCATGTTTTTTCCCCTTTGTCAAATGATCAAATTAATATTTTGAACAATGACCCCAGTATGGGCCCATCATTTTGGACACTTATTGCTAAATGTTGTTCCCCGTGCCAGTTTCATGAGCCACCCTCAGCGCTGTCATCTAGGATTTCCCTGTAATGTTACGATCTGAAGGAGGCATCAGGCACGTATATACATGCATTTCTCAGAATGCTTTTGTGTCCAAGGGTTTGAACAGCTGTCATGTGTGTGATCTGCTGCCGGCTGGTCCATTGTGCACCTTGACCAGAAAGTGCTGAGCAGCCTCATCTTGCCAGTCTTGACTGACACTCTCTCTTATGACCAACAATCAGCAGACTTTGTAAATTAAATTTCTTAACTTCTCCAGTTTGCAAAGTGTTTGAAGGAGAAAGTTCAAGGGGAGGATATGTTCAAGTTACTACTTTGCATTATGGAAACAAGTTATCCTCAAGGTAAAATGGAAACATGTTAAATAAGATGAGATATTGAAGAGAAAGAATCGGGACATATTCCTGCTTCTCAAGAGTTAAACCTTTACAGTGTTAAGTTCCATATCACATCCCTTTTGAAATTTAAGAATAAATATCATTTAAAGCTGTGGTATATACATGCACTAGAATATTATTCAGCCTTAAAAGGAATGAAATTCTGAGACATGCTATGACACGTATGACCCTTGAAAAGATTATGCTAAGTGAATCAAGGCAGACCCAAAAGGACACATACTGCATATTTTCGCTTACATGAGGTACCTAGGATCGGCAACTTCATAGAGACAGAAAGTAGAATAGCGGTTGCTGGGAGTTGAAGAAAAGGGTAATAGGGAGTTATTTAATGGGTACAGAGTTTCTGTATGGGATTAGGAAAGGGTTCTAGAAACGAATGGTGGTATTTGTACAACATTGTGAATGTACTTAATGCCACTGAATCATACACTTAAAATGCTTAAAAGAGTAAATTTTATTATATATTTTTACCACAATAAAGCATATAATGGAGGATAAGAATTATTTCAAGCTAATATGCTACAAGCAAATTATTACAAATTATAACTTTTAATTCTTAAGTACTGTTGTTACTTAAGCATCTCCTAGGAAGTCAGTATCTGGCATAAGTATGAGGAGGATATAAAATAATAATTACTTCGGTTATTTAACAATGAACCAAACTGGTAATGGGCATTTGGGCCAGACTGGAGAAAGTAAGGTAAACCTACTACTGTATGTTCACTGAGTGGCATATTCTTACCTAAAATCTTTTGTGATTCAAACTACTGTACTACTTCTGTACTTAATTCACTTTTATAATGTTGTAAGACATTATTAGTGTTCACCCATATCTGATTCTCCATAGACACAGCACACAGAAGACAGCAATTTTCTAAGTCCCCTTAAAGTTAGGGAGGAATTGGCAAATTAGTTCTAGCCACTAACCTGCAGTTTAAGTGATGACTGTCATTTCTGGACCTGACGCACTGTAACATCAACCAAGAAGGCTATATCCTATATAATAAAGAGCTAATACGCAAATGGTCATCACACCCTCACACCATCATGCTGTAACGGCTCAGATACTCAACACTGGGGAGAGAGGAATGGGGACCAGCCAGGCACAAATGAGCTCACAAGAGAGGAATGGGGACCAGCCAGGCTGTGGCCCGAGAGAGGGACAAGCCGCCCCCCTCCCCCTCCGCAGTCCCGGGTGCCAGTGGCTGTGCCTACGCCTATGGCCCGGGAGAGGGACAAGCTGCCCACCCTACAGTCCCGGGCGCCTGTGGCTGCAGCCAGCCCGAGCGAAGCTGGCCCGGGTCCTGGGTGCCTGCAGCCGGCCAGAGGAAGGGAAGCCCGGGTCCTGGGTACCTGTGACCAGTTGGAGGAGGAAATCCTGGGTCCCGGGTGCGGGGCGAGGCAGAGGCGGTTAGAGGCGATCAGGCCAGCAGGGGAGCAGTTAGGGGTGATCAGGCAGGCAGGCAAAGGGGTTAGGGGTGATCAGGCAGGCAAGTGGTTAGGAGCCAGCGGTCCTGGATTGCAAGAGGCAGTTGGACATCCCCCGAGGGGTCCTGGATTGGAGAGGGTGCAGGCCTGGCTGAGGGACCCCCACCCCCAGTGCACGAATATCATGCACCGGGCCTCTAGTATTTCATATAATGTAGCTATGGGTTGGTATATTCTCTCTCAGTCTGGATCAGTGAGTTATTTCATGGGAAACAGTGGCCAGAAAGAGCCCCAAATCAGCAAAAGGCTGCAATGATCACAGAATAAGCTGCTAAGATTCTGAAATAATTTGGTAATACAGCATACGTCTAGCCTCCCCTGACAAATACAGATATTGGTAATGGGAGTTGGGTGCTGCTCAAAGAACCAAAACTGTGTGGCATTGGCTTAGAGGTTGGTTGGTATACATAGCTAATGCTGGAGGCTAGGAACCCGGCACTTCACATTATGCAGTGGATTTGATATCACTCTAACCCACGATAACCTGGGAGGGAGGAAATGTACCTAGTGAGTTTCGAACTAAGGGGAAAAGTTGAATAATAAGAGTGTTGTGGGGTACTATTTGACACATTTGGCAAGTTTATTATAAAGCTGGAGCTCAGAAAGAATGGTTGATTTGTGAAACCTGAAACTAAGGAAGAGGTGACCAGAAATTCTGAGCCTCATATGGTTGTGATTTTCACCTCCAAGCAGTAGGAGATAAACTCGAGATAGCCTTTAAGTGACAAAGGATTATTAAAACTCAGCCTTGCAGCAAAATTCATAACTAAGGGTGTAGACTTCGTATTTATTTTGGAAAGAAAAAAAACTTCAATGGATTAATTAAGGGTGTGGAACCTTAATTATTTTCCTCACTTGGAAAACAATGCCTGAAGATGAAAATGTGGTTAACAGGATGGCTCTCCCTTTAAAACTTATAGACAGAATATACCTGCCCAAAAAGTCAGGAGAGATATGGAGGTAGGAAATCAGAGAAATATAGCCAACCCAAGAACTACTTGTCTTAAAAAAATGGTATGGTTACTGGCATGTAAATCTGACTGGAAGCAGAAAAAGGCCTACTTTAAGAGTTGTACTGAAAAATCTATATACAGTGGGGCCTTGACTTACGAGTGTCCCAACTAACGAGTTTTTCGAGATACGAGCCGTCTCTCGGCCGATTTTTTGCTTTGAGTTTCGAGCTAAAATTCGGGTTACAAGCCAGCTTCAGATACCCCAC